AGAATATGATCCAATGAATTATCAAAATTTGATCAAAAGTGCCCGAATACTCATAACGGTACGGACTGACCCATATTGTAATTCACAAAACATCACAAAAATCACAAAATTTTGTGATGATCACAAAATGTGCTTAGTTTCGCCACAAATTTCACAAAATTCGATCAAATTTTTTTTTTAAATATATGCATATAATTTCACAATAAAACAGTTTTTTTTATAGCAAATTTAATACATGAATGGGGCTGGGCATTTATTGTGGATTAGAATTTGATAATAATGAAGATGAATCAGATGTATATTAGTAATTCGTTTACTTATTCTTTCTCAAATTGCACTCAATTATATTTGGCTACTCGTATCAAGCTGTGCTGTTGAGCGTAGCTTTTCTTTATATGGTACCCTTTTAGATTAATGATCGTCAAAATTTCTCTAAAGAATCACAAACAATTATCTATGATGTATTTCAACCGAGATTAAATTTTTTATAGAAGCTTTTTTTTTAATAATTTCATATAATGATATTTTTAGAGCTTTTACCATATAAATAAAAAATATTTTACCTGTCATCGCAAAATTTCACAAAATTCAAATTAACCCGCAAAATCGCACAAAATCGCTTCAAATTGATCCACAATAAATCACTTTATACCGCCACAAAATTGCACAATATCGCTTCAAATTGATCACAAAAAATCACAAAAAATCACAAAATTTGCCTTATCCCGCCACAAAATTTATGTTATCCCGCCACAAAAAATCATCGTCCCTGACCGGGTGCCACCACTTCATAATCGGAGAATTACTCCAATTAGTAGAACCAATCAGAAGTGGTGGGAGAAATTAGTAAATTCTTGTCCACCATGCTGCGTAGTTAAAATTTAGGGTGCCTGATTGTGTATTTGATCACAGTTTATTTTTCGCGTGGTAAGTGTGTTGTCATAAATCGGTTTAATAAAATGGCTTATTATTCTAAATCACGCCAGTTCCGTGTAGCAGTTCAAAAGGAAACTATTAAAGCTTTTAAAGATCTCAGTTATACTCATGCAGAAACTAAAAAATTTGTTGCGCTTGACGGTCCAAAAATAGCAGCAGAAACTGAGAAAGCAAAGTTTTACAAAGATGCTTCTTCCTTGTCTCGGGAAGTTGTGGCTGAAAAGCAAGAAACGCCCACTATTGAAGTTGTAAATATGGACTGTCTTCTTGAAGCATTAAGACTAAAAAGACACGGTTTCAACCCTATAGTATTGAACATGGCATCAAGCACAAGTGTTGGAGGTGGTATGTAATATTTATATTATGGTATAATATATCAAGATCCAATTTATTCATTAAAATAAGGCTACAAGTCCGGTGCAGGAGCTCAGGAAGAAAATCTTTTTCGTCGTACAAATCTTTTTGAATATCATGAACGTAAAAAAAATGAATGGTATCCTATTCCTGAATCTGGTGGCATTTATTGTCCTAACGCCACAGTCATAAGATCTAGTGAAGCAGATAAATATTCATTCTTGGAAGTTCCCGAAACAATGTCTTTTGTGGTATGAAAATTCAATTTTAGGCAACAGTATTAATTACGTCAATAGTTAAAGACATTTGATATCAAAATTTATCACTAGGCTGTATCCGCTTTGCGTCGCCCAAAAATTATTTCAGATTCTTCTGGTGGACATACGCTACATCCTGAAGCGAAAGCCAAAACCCGTAAAAAGATTCAAGCGATTTTGAATATAGGATTAGAAAATGGTGTGTTATCTGAACTATTTACTATTATTACCATGTTAGAATCCTTTTTTCATTTATATCTGACTTATAATTCTTTGTTTTTTTTTTTTACTCATGATATCATATAATATCTATCGAAATTATATTGTCCAAAGGGCATGATTGTATAATATTAAGTGCATTTGGATGCGGTTAGTTGAATTTTTCAAAATCATGTTTACATTTAAGTATATATTTATGCAAAATATATTGATATCAAATATTTATAGGCGCGTATCGGAACCCTCCGGATGTTATTGCACAACTATTTTATGAAGTGATCTCAGCAGAGTATGCTGGTGACGGAGAGAACTTGCCACGAACTTATCGACATATATCTTTTGCCATCATTGATGATCACAATGCTAATAAAAAACACAACATTGAGGGGAATTATATACCATTTCATCGAAGATTTGCTAAGGGAATTATTGTTGAATCTGTAAGTTAAATAGTGATTATTTTAGAAGTTATATTAAAGTCACATCCAACATTAAAAGATCTGCATTCACATACACAAGACGAAACGCATATAAGCAAAGGTGAATGCCGCTAATCATCATCATATTCTAATAATGAAGAGAAAAAGAATGAAGTGGCAATGAAAGAGTAATGGAGTACGGAACAGCAAAAAATATCCAATTTTTTTTAAAAGTGCCAAATTTTAAGATTACGTAATCAATTATTGGTCAATTTTTATATAATTTATTTTGATTGGCTAATAAATTATATTGATAATTTTTTTCCGTATACCGGCGAAATAACGCACTCCTGCGCGTTATTTCGAGACGCGCATGCGCGATATTTCGAAATAAAAGGTTGATTTTCTGAAATTAATATTTTCAAAATAACACGCTTGTTTGTAATTCGAATTCATATGAATCGTAATATGCAGTAATGATAAATAAACTTCAGGACAAACAGATTTATACATGAAATTACTGTGCGGTTGTTAATTAACAAGATCAGATATACCTGTGTATGAAATAAGCAAGAAGGCGTTAATGTTAGTTAAAAAATCGAATAAGCGTTGACTCTGCTCAAATTCCTTTTAGATTAAATTGATTGTCTCGTGACTTACTTGGATACGCGTTATTATCCAGTGTACTATGTATATCAAATATATGTGAGTGTCACTAAAAGAAATTAAATGACTTATATTTAAATTTTCGGGTATAGTCTCATATGTAAAACTTTGCGTAACAATTACGATGATCTATAGTAAAATGCTATAAATTTTAAAGAAAATTGTTAATATTATTAAAAATTTCTTAAAATTAATAAAAACATTTTTTTAGTTTAAAATACAGGTTCTGTTGAGCAATTGTACAAATTTTTTAAGCTAGTTAATATGTAATTTACAGAGATACAATAATCATTTCATTAAGAGTATTGTTAACTTTCATCCCAGGTGATGTTATTCGATTATATAAAGACCAATCAGATTGCTGGATCTTGTGTAATCAAAACAAAGTGAAGAAAGAAAAAAAGCCAAGAAAAACAAGTACCAATGCAATAAAAATATGTACAGTTTTTGGATCTGAGCCCAAAAAATGATTAAAAATTTCTAAAGTAGTCAATAACTACAACCATAATATGAATGGCATGGATATCACTAATCAATTGTGATCCTATTACGATACCCAACAAATGGCACAACGAAATTGGATATCACTTTTTTTTTGGTTGTTGGATATTGCAATTATTAATACATATCTTATCACTAAAATTTTAGATTTTATACAAGAACATAAAAATTTTCAGGTCAAACCTGTGTGGAATCTTATTAATTTTGCGAATGATAGTGGCAAAATTCAATTAAGAGAACATTCAAAAAAAAAAAAAAAACAAAGAGTCACAAAAAATTTTAAACTCTTAGATAAACGTTTAGCACCCGGTAATCATCTTGCAGTGTGGAAAGAATATCGTGAGCATGCCGGTGGTGTACGTGGCTGGCAAATATCAAAGAATCGGATATGAATCGCAAAACACTATGTCAAAGTCAAATTTGGTATTTAGAATGTGATGTGCTACTTTGTTGTAACAAGAGCCACAATTGTTTTCTTGGATTCCATATTGAAAACAAAGAACCTTTAGATGAATAACAAGCTTTTAGTTGGGTGAGTGGGTGGGCGAGATGGTCCTATAGACCAAAACAAAACCTTTAATGGTAGGTGGGTGGACAAAGATCAAAATAATAAAAAAAAAAAATTTTTTTTTTAAATTATTTTATTATTTATTTTAATTTATTACATCATGAATTCTTAATTTATTAATTTACTAATCAATTTTTAATGATTACGTGGTTAACATTATAAAGCAGATTAAAATCCTAAAATTATTAATTTTTTGCTAACGCAATTCGGAAAGTTTGATAGCCCGGAAGTTTTAATTTAATATTATCAGGATCTTGTTTTAAGCACAAATCGTATAAATCATGACCTCATGACCAAGTTTGTTTAAGAATACGGTATTCTGGTCAGCCTGGATGACCTGAAAATTTAGTTTATATAAAATAATTTACAATATAGACACTGTATATTTCACATAACTTAAATTCGTACACTTCATTTATTTTGCACAACATATGCAATGCTAAAACAGTGTATATATTATGTAATCTGGGTCTTCAGAAACTACTCTAACTAATTTAAGCAAAGATTTTCATAATTTTTATTTTTTCCTACTTAAAAAATTTTTTAATAATTTAAGTAGGCAAATTTGCCCGCTTATTCAGATGGTTTAAGGGATAAGATTTTGTATAACTACCAATTTGTAGATCTTTATATTTATGTCTTTAATTCAAAATATCTTGAAATTCACCAAGCCGATTTTGATAATCTAAAAACTATTAGAACCAGAAAAAATAGCTTTACAACTTTAATTAGAGCCTAAGAAAGATTATCTTATTAAAAACTTCTTTAATTTTTAAAAAAATATATATATTATATATAATTAAGATTTAAAGAA